CCCTCCATCATTGGGTTGTCGCCGTCCGAGCGAGGCGATGGCGGCGATCTCGGGGTCGCTTCTCCCCGGACTCGCCATGGTCCATGGGAGGCGTCGCCCCTTGACCGTCGGCGAGGTAGAGCGCCAAGCCTCTCATGGTAAAGAAGGCGCTTTTGGGAGAGGAAGAGATTGGATGGCGGCGTGCGATCCTTTCTAGGCACTACTTGACCTTCCAAACTAATATCTCCTTCTCCCGAGTAGTAATGCCCACATCTCATATACTCGATGAAATCTCCAAAGTCTCCCGCCATAAGGCTCGGTTTTCATCAACTAGCACTATATCGTCCATGAAAAGCATACACCAAGGATGTGCATTGTATGTCCCTTGGATCCATCACTAAGGCAAACTAATGTCATGATCCTTGACTTTTGTTTATGGTTAGCCATCGGGAAGTCATCCGTGTCTCCATCACTTGTTCGAACTCTAGTCACAACATTGTTGTAAATGTCCTTAATGAGGTTTGGGAGCCCACCACATAACATTCCTTGGTATTTTATCATAAGCCTTCTTCAAGCATAAAGGCTTCCCTTCGGGCATGAAACCAAATTGGCGCCGCATTATTGCTCTCAAGCGATGCTCGATAACTCTCTCCCATGCTTCATAGTATGAACAAACACCGGTGAGTAAACTTTGAATATCTTCTTTATTCTTGTAGCGTTACCAATATACTTCTCTCCACTCGGATGGTGCGCTAAAGGACACTTGGGGTTATACTATAGCTATGTCCGGGTGAATGTCCCTCTTATCAACTTTTATCCTTTTCAACGCCTCTCGACCTCAGATTCTTGGATTCTCCGCAGACAAAGCGCCTATTGGTGTCATCAAAAGAGTCATCCAACTTAAATGTTGTGTCCATATTCTCACCATTGAACAATGAGGTTCGATGGCCCCTTGTGGGGGTACAAATGGTTGGGAGAGGGGAGACCCCCAAGTCTTCTCACGATATGGAGTGATTGGTGAATTTTTTTCTTTTACGCCAAGAACCATATCTAATATCATGTGCTTTGAATTATTCATCAAATCTCTTGTGTAGCAGTAATATATTAAGTAGCTTATTCATTGAAGGGCGGGCCTGTGCAAGTGGTAGTGCGCTTTTTTCGGAAGGTCCGGGTGTCCCTTGCATTGCACAAGCGAGGCTAAGGCTTGCCAATGACACCCTTCCCTAGGTCCCTTATGTAGGGGAGCCAGACTGGGCCTTTTTATTCCTTTGATTTATGTATGTAGCTCAGTTCAGTCCTGTTATTTTTATAGTTTCAGTTTTTGGAATTTCTATGTGTATGGATAACAGGATAAGAAGAACATTTATTCAAAGTCACTATTTTTCAGAGCTTTTTATGCAGGAAAGAAGGTCATTGAGAGGAATTTTAAAATTTTGAAGATCTAGAAGATAATGATAATGTAAGCTATCATTTCAAAATCCTATTTTTATATTAGTTTTTACATTCTTATTAGTTTTGACATTTCTTTTTTTAGGCTACTCTGTTTGCCACATTTAGAAATGTTGGAAAAGTTTATTGACTTCTGTAAGCGGAAGGTTTGTTATCATTGATATTGAATACATATGGATTAAGATTTTCATTGTCCAATGGAAAAGTCACCATGCCACTGAATTGGACCTTTTTATTGATCGTGGTCCACGCCACACATATTTCATTATTACTAGAAAGTGTTAGTGTTATCAACTTTTCAGAGCACTATTGAATCAAGAAACATTAATCCCTAATAGAAGTTGGGTTCACTACTTGGTTTAAAAAAACTGAAACAATGTAATAATGGGAGAGAGACCAAAATTAAGCACCATACAGTTACCTGTTCTTGGCTTGATCTGATTTTGACATTTTTCTTCATTACGGTTCCAATTCATTGTTCCTATACAATGAAATGAAAGATATTTATATTTTTAGGTTCCCTCTCTAAATGAAATGCACCTTTTTACGATCTATGATTATCTGAAACGAAATCTAGTTTTCTTTAGGTATACCTGCATATTAATGAAACTACATGCATTTGATCTTTTTTCAATCATCTGTGTTGTATCCATTCCCAAAGTTGTGTACCTGCATATAAATGAAATGCATTTTTTTTCAATCATCTAATCAGAGCTCGTACAGGCAGATCAGGTGATCACAGGCTATGCACGGTCACATACTAGAGCCCACGGACAAACGTCATATCGTCTTGACATGAGAAGGAAACGTTTGGTGCTTCTATTGGCATTTGAAGCGGCCGTGCAGGATGGCCGTGCAGATTGCCCGTAGAGAGAAGGGTGAACAGAAGGGACAGATAGATTATTATTACTCTATATGTGATTCCTATTTCTGTTCTTGTTCTTCAGAGCATCAACAGCAAAGAGCTGATCTGATATTAGTATGTAGACAAATCCATTAAGAACAGGATGATCGAGTATGTTTTAGTGAAGGATTTTTAAGTACTTTTTCTTGATCTATTTCATTCGCATCTTGTTGGGTTGGCCTTGCATTATGGTTGGCCCCGTTCGCTTGAACTTATTAGCCGATTTATCAGCTAGAATCTACATTATTTTTCTCTCACAATAAAACAGCTTTAGCCAACTTATCAGCCGGCTTACTTGTTGAGTCGATTGTTTCAGTATGTCATTCCTTTTATTTTTTCTTGGTCTCCAAGTTGATCGTGTTCAGTTAGCTTGCCAAAAGGAATCTGAGTGGTTGGATATGTAACGTGACTTCTTGTGTAAGTTGTTGCGTTCGGGTGGAGAGGGAGGACCTGATTGATTATTTTATTATATTTTTGTGTTCATTCATTTTTTCTTTGTCGTTTTATATAAATCCTATAGATGACATGTTTAATTATGATCGGCTCAAAAAGCGGTTGATAGCTGTATGAACTATCATCCGGCTGATGGGTAGTCTACTAAGTGCCTGGGCCTAGCTGTACAGAGCTGGGCATCATTGAAAGGCCGCCGAATCCTGGTAGAAAACAAGGCGGCCTAATTAGAGCCCATCACGACAAGACAGTCTGTGGGCCACTGTATCCCTTCTCTCTACGGACCATTGGACCTGCCCACTAATAGGTCCTTGATTTTTTTTTTGAAATAAAATGGGTCCCTGATTTTCAGGGGCAATACCTATGCATGCATTGTAACGATTGTAACGGAACATGTAACTTTGTTGCATGGTTAATTTGGTGATTGGAGTATTTATGTAGCAATCACGTCGTATGGGAGACAGATGATGTTCTTACTCATATGGATACATTAGGTATAGATTTACCAATGGTGATGTTTTGTGTTCCAAATCATTTTGGGAGTGGACTTTGTAGTAACATGCCTGAACAATGAAACTCATACGGACATGAGAGAGGGTTGTGTACATTTCTATCACCGTGACCTAAAGAAAATAGTTGGACCATCAAAACACTACTGTATCCTAGTGATTCATTTTAGAATGAAGTTTCGTATCATGCTTAAACAAACTACTCCAATTTGTATAGGTACATCATGAGATATTGAATCCGTTGGATCCTAATGAACGCAACAGCCTAGTGCCCAAGCAAGTGGACTAGTGGGCGTGGACGCGCGGCAGCTGGCCGGCCGGCGTCGTCGTGGTGTGCATCGATCAGGTCGTCGATCGCACAAGTGGCTGGCTGGCTAGGATGGGTACACGACACTGCAGGGATGCGCGTGGCTGCAATCCGTGCCCGTTGTCGCCCGTCGCCGACGTCCTCCAATGTACAGCTCCTTCCATCCATCCATCTCCTTTGCCTCGCTCAAACAGACGCAGACACAGACACGGACGGACACACGGCGCGCCATGGCTGGCAGGACGTCCGTGTCGTACGTAGACTTGTTCAGTTCTCCCGCCACGTCCCCGTCGACGGCCGTCCGTCCCTAGCTAGTAGCTACCATCCCTCCTTTGTCGTTGCCGCCGCTCAGCTTCCGACGATCCTGTCTTAGAGTGTCCTGACTCCTGCTGCTGCAGCATGCACTAGTGCAACTAGCTAGCGCCGGTCGTTTCTCCCTCGCCGTCGCCTTCGCTGCGCCGGTCATGATGAGGCCCGACCGGGACAGGGCACCACCAAACACCACTACTACTCACCGTCCCCTTGTCCCCCAGCTATTCGACATGTTCGCTGGTTGATTTCTAGATGGATAAGTCCGGCTGGTGCTGATTTGTTGTTAGAGAAAAATACTGTTGGCTGGCTGGTAAGCCAACCAAATATATACTACAGTGAGAGTCTGAGAGAGAGACCGGCAGATGCAAATTGCAAAATTAAGGCAATATAGGAGGAGTAGCAACTGTGTTCATCCATCCATCCATCGATTCCAACGGCGAATCAATTAAATTAATCACACACAGTACACAACTAACAGGCTACTACACCACAGTAGCAAGCAAAGCAACCAATAATCCAATCCGTCCGGCGAACATGCCATTCTCCGCGTCGGCGGTGACCAACCCCAACCCGGGCTCGCCGGTCTTCTCCCCGTCCCGCCGCCTCCCGCCCTCCCTCCTCCTTCAACAAGGACACGCCGGAGCCGCACCACCATATCCATACCCTCCCGGGCTCGCCGCTCAGACCACCCTCCCTCCTCCGGGCCTGGGCCCAGCACCAGCACCATAGGGAGGCCGCCTGCTCCCCGTCGCCATGCAAGCCCACCAGCCACCAGCAGTTTGCAGCTGTAACGACGACCGCCATAACTCCGTCGCCGTCGTGGCTCGTCAACCGCCGACGCCACCGCCTCTCCTTGTCCCCGTGGTCACCACCCTAAAGGAACAGGAATAGGAGGCGGGGCCTGAGACCCAGGAGACCGCGGGCCACGGCTTCACGGCCTACTGCCGGAAGGGAAAGGGACGGAGACGGGTCCACATGGAGGACCGCCACGTCGCCGCCGTCGGCCTCGGGGGGTGACCCCCACACGGCCTTCTTCGGAGTGTTCGACGGCCACGGTGGCAAGGCCGCCGTTGAGTTCGCCGCCAACAACATGCCCAGGATCATGACGCAGGAGCTGCTGCTGCAGCAGCAGCAAACGCCCATGACCACAACCAAAGCCGTCAAGGAGGAGGCCGTGAGGCGTGCCTACCTGAGGACCGACGCCGACTTCTCCACTTCCAGCGCAGGCGGCGCCTGCTGCGTCACGACGCTGCTCCGCGAGGGCCGCCTCGTGGTGTCCAACGCCTGCGACTGCCGCGCCGTGCTCTGCCGGGCGGGCAAAGCCAACCCGCTCACCTCCGACCACCGCGTGTCCTGCGAGGACGAGCGCCGCAGGATCGAGAGCCAGGGCGGCTTCGTTGTCGACTGCCGCGGCACGTGGCGGGTGCAAGGCTCGCTGGCAGTGTCCAGGGGCATCAGCGACGGGCACCTCAAGCCATGGGTGCTGGCGGAGCCGGACACCACCACGCTGCCCGTGGACGCGAGCTGCGAGTTCCTCGTCCTCGCCTCCGACGGCCTATGGGACAAGGTGGACGCGCAAGAAGCGGTGGACGTCGCGCGCCCGCTGTGCTGCACCGGCAGCCAGCAACTCCCTCCGCGGCCTGCAGGCGGCTGGTCGAGTTGGCGGCGTCCAGAGGCTCCACCGACGATATCACCGTCCTCATTGTCCGTTTATCGGCGATGAGCGACAACTTATACTTACTTATACTTATTATAGATTAAATTAATAACGCGACGCGCTTACTTTCCAATATATACGGAGTATATATCAACTTGCAAAGCAGCTTCTCAATCTACTATACTTCTCATGGCTAATGCTACTTCAAATTTTGCTATGTTGCATCAAAAAATGGTATTTTATCTTAATGATTTGCTCAACTGCTTGTCCAGCAGTTGCAAACGTTTCAGTAAATAACAGATAACTAGTATTTTATCTTAATCTTATAAGCTTGACATGAATTATATGCTTTGCCAAGAAATGTTGAAAAGCAACACGACTCGATCACCAGGCAAAACGACCTTTAGCGTGTAGCATTGTAGCCCCAGTACCGAAGTTTTTCTTCCTTTGCTCCAGACTCGAAGGCAGTGCATTTTCATTGATCAGTTGAAACTCCTCACAAGTAGTCAGTCCGTTCAGGATTTCTAATCATCTTCTGGCTGAGGTCAACTGTAGCTGGAAGCACAGTTTGGTGAACAAAACAATATGGATGTCTGCCTTGTAAAGAAACAAAGACTTCCATCAACTTAGTGCGTGAGTTTTTTGCAAAGTCCCATATAGTTCAGTCTGCTTGTCTTTGAAGGAATCGTCTGAGTTTTCTGGCCAATAGAACAATCGAAAGGGTAGATTAAATGGCCAAGCCAAATAGCAAAGGAAACCAATAAAAAAATATCACAATACAGTAATGCCTAAATTTGATAAGTCAGGATAATCAGAGAAATTTCTGGGTACTGGAATTAGTGCCCAGGTGAAACTACAAAGGAAAAAGGGCGCATGTCAAGAGAAGATGCGTGGAAAGTGGAAACATTGTAGCCTTAAATCACCAATTGAATGATGTGCAACATAGCTAATAGTACCTGTATAATAAATACATACCACTCTTTTGGATAATCCAAGCGTGCAATATTGGAGATTAATACAGCTACCTGCTGTGCAATCTACAATTACAGCATTTAGAAAATATAGTCTCATCAATACACATCATGTGTTTACCATCATATGAGTCAAACTGGATGCATATTATCTAGTGCATACCTGGCTATTCTCCTCATGTGTGTTTAGAAAAAGATTTTTCCCAAAGGTGGTCCTCCTCATTACTAATTCCACTGCAGCAAAGAAATTTTAATCTGGTAAGTGAAGTGCCAGACTGTTATCGTTTAAGTGTCCCACTACAGCTGTGTTTATGTTTGTGAATAGCTAAAGTTATATAATAGATGAATTACTCTTCATTGTTTTGCCTCTGAACTCCCACATTCTGGATACTGTGACACATACAATGTAATTGTATGTTCTTGGCTGTACCTCTGAGAGTGAACTGAAGTTCATCTGCAATTGTAAGCAAGAAAAGGTTGGCATTTAGATAGAGCCAATATTTCCAAATTAAATCGAATGTAAAAAAAAAAAGGGCAGACCCAGTGCCGGAGGCTCCCACATGAGTGGGGTCTGGGGAAGGGAAAAACCGAGGCAACCCTTCCCCCCGCAAAATCTGCGGAGAGGCTGTTTCGAACCCGTGACCTGGTGACTCAGTGAGACAGCTCTCACCACTGCACCAGGCCTGTCCTTCTAAATTAAATCGAATGTATACACAATAATTCATGTTGGGAAAAAAATTGAGGCACTTTGAAGGCAAAATCATGACCACTCACCAGCCGCTATTCCAATTTAAGATTTGTTCATAGAAATGTGTAATGTTGTTAATCCATCTGGAAGCACTTAGCACTAGTCAGATGTATTTGACAACAAATTTGAAAGATATATTTACCAGTTGCCATCTTTCTTGCGATCATTCATCTCTTTCCTTAGCCCTTATGCACTGGGTACACTTCCTTGCCAGGTCCCAACATTCCATCCAGCAGAAATTGCAGATTAAACATCTTTATGTGCTGACGAAAACCAACCTGACAGATTGATCTAACCGTATCCTCAAATATCATGTAACCACAGACAAAGCCTTGTCTTTCGATTTCTTGGAATGTAACAAGGATGTTCCCATTTCTATCACTGCGAGCAAGCCTGTTTAGAAGGGTAGTAAGAAGATCCTTTGACAGTCTATCCTTGAGAGACTCTTTAAAACAATTAGTAGCCTTATCAAATTTTCCTTGTCTGCATAATCCATCAACCATTATTGTATAGGTGACTTCATCTGGAGCAATATTTGCTACTTCTGTCATGTACGCAAACATGCTTTCCGCCTCACAGGCCTCTCCACTTAAGTAAAATGAATGGATGAGTGTATTGTATGTCACAACATTTGCAGGAAACCCTTGATTATAGACCAGTTTCTTGGCTACAGAAAGCTTCTCAGCGATGCAAAGACTATGGATGAAAATGTTGAACGTGCGTGAATTTGGTACGATACATTTCTTGATCATGTTTGCCAAGAGCTCCAGAACAGCTGGCCATCTGCCCATGTCACACAGTCTGCTCATCACAGTGTTGTAAGCGACAACAGCAGCACACCAATTTAACTCTGTGCTCCTCTCCAAGATGGGAATGGCTTGTGAAAACCTCGAGTTACAGCAAAGGCAATTTAGAATGATGCTCAAAGTAAAAGCTGTGGGATGCAACCCTTTACCTTGCAAGACTTCAAACTGTTTGAGTGCTTCCTTAGCCATGCCTTTCTTGCTAAGAGCATCCATGTATATATTATAGGTAACCGTACTGGGCTGGTGGCCCTTAGTTTCAATCTCTGCTAACACCTGCTCGACCTCATCGAATCTGGCATCGTCGCACAGTGCCCTTATCAGAACATTATAAGTGACAGCATTGGGAGGACAGCCAGCCTCCTCCATGAAGCCAATCAGGTTGGTAGCCTCCTCGATACGGCCCTGACGACAATAGCCCTGCACGATGGGCGTGTACGTGTGCACCATGGGGCGGCACCCTTCCTGCAGCATCCAATCGAGCACGCCCCAGGCCTCGTCAAGCTTCCCCGCCCGGCACAGCCCCGTGACGAGCGTGGAGAAGGTTCCGACGTCAGGCACCACCCCGTGGCGCCGCATGGCGTGGATCTCGTCGTAGGCGAGATGGAACTCGGCGGTCCGCCACGCGTACAGCTTGACGAGGATGTTGAAGGACGACGCGTTGGGCGCCACGCCCGCCGCGAGCATTCCGTCGAACACCCTGCGGGCCTCCACCGCGCGGCCTTCCTCCGCGAGCGCGTTGAGGAGTGTGTTGTAGCAGAGCACGCTGGGCGGGACGCCGGCGCTTGAGGCGGAGAGCATGAGGTCGGAGAAGAGGTGGACAACCTGGTCGACGTCCCCCGCGCGCGCCAGCTCCTTCATTGCCAAGTTGCAGTCGCGCTCCAGCTGCTGCAGCTGTGGAGGCGGAGGGTGGTGCGGAGAGGCTACTTCCGGCTCCGTCACGGGCGGGGGAGGGAGGGTATTGGCGTCGTCGGAGTCGTCGGAGGACGATGGGGAGGGGAAGGGAAGGACGACGAAGGCGGCGGCGGTGGAGGAGGAAGCCATGCGCCCGCGCAGGAGGAGCCGAGCTGTGGGGAGGAGGGCGGCTGCGCGCGCAATGGTCGCGACGAAGGGAGTTGCACCGGCCGCCGTGGCGGTGGAGCAGGAGGTGGCGGCGGCAGCGGCGGCGCCGTGGTGGGAGCTGTGATTTGTTTGTGTTTCTCGGGTAGTGAGATGACGATGGTGATTGACGAGAGAGGGTTTTTGGTAATTAATGGTGTGGGAGGTGATTGATGTTGGAGCCGTGCGATGTGTGTGGTGTGGTGGAGATGTGCGCACCCGGCCTTGCCTTGCCTTCCTACAGCTCACCGGCTTTTCTTTGCACAGTTTGTCAGGTTAAATATATTTTGATGGACATCAGACAGAACTCATTCTTCATTTATATATATACTAGGAGCTATGAGTTTAGAAAGAAGAAAAAACTCTAGTCACTTGCTCATCATCGCTCTTCACCAGAGACTAGAGTCATTCTATCAGTGTCATTGTCATGCCAATCTAGTTGGTTTTGGGTCACTCAAATGTAAAAAATGACCAACAAATTACTCCTTGGATTTGCACACCTTTTGTATTTCCTGGCCTTTCATATTCTAAAGTACTCTCTCCCTCTCGAAAAAAAAGTGCTAGTCAAACTTTCTTAACGTGACTAGGTTTGCAAGAAACATTAGCAATAATAATATTTTATATTTTTTAGTCAAAGTTGAATTTTTTTTACTTTACATGAGATGGGACGGAGGGAGTTAGGAGGCAATGTTCCGTTCAGACTTAATTGCTGTCAACACTGTACAAAAATAACACGGAGTTGTAGTCAACATTTCTGGTTCACAAGGCTACAATTCGATTGCAACAGTGCCGTGCCGCAGAGTTGGCCGCCGACAACATGCCCAAGTTTTTTTTTTTTTTTTTTTGTGAATCATGCCCAAGAAGATCATGGCACAGGATCTGCACACAAAACACGCACGAGTGCTCGACCGTCGAGGGCACTGTGAGGCGAACACATCTGACGACCGACAAGCGACAACGCTCATATACAGTACTCCAGACTAATCACTGTATACAGACGCACTAAATTCAGCAATAAAAGATGTAGCATATAGCGTCGGATCAATCAACAAGCCTAATAACGGAGCAGGCAGTTGTTCAAAACCAGTACAGTACATGTCTTCTCCAGACTCCCGATCAAACCAAACCAACCAACCACTCCCTAAATGTAAGAATGACCAAACCAAAATAGACTAGTCACCAGGAAATCCAATGCAAACATCTCCATCATTTATTCTTAGGCACAACACAAGAGCACGACAGCATGGAGCCTGCGGAACATAAACCTAAAACAAAAAATTGCATTCCAGGGCAACCATTGGATTGTATTTCTCACGCGACAAGGTCCTTCTCAAACAACCTCCTCGGGGTCACCAGTAAGGAGGATGGTTGCCTGGCCATGATTTCAGATTTTACCAGGAGGAAAAAAAACGTATGAATGAACAAACTGAACCCAGGACCTCGAGT